AGTGCCAGAGCTTGCTTAAACTGGGCTAGGTCTTACGGTGCCTCAGCCCTGCACATTATCTTAGTTGTTACTGGAGGGGCTGTATTAACCTCCCTGGCAGTATGATTATTTCAGATTTTTGGTGCTGAAAGCGGTACCATTTTTTTGCATGGAAATATGTTTTTTTTTTATTGTAGGCCTGTAATTTAGGAATAACTCCCTGAAATCTGTCCGAACAAGAGTCTAGTAAACATTCCGGATATGATAAAACTTAAAACACAAAATCATAAATTATAATTTAATAAATACTCATAAAAAATAATAATATAATAATAATACATTTAATTCAATAATATAATCAAACCAAAAACACTGAAATTTGAAATATAGCGCCAAGTTCGCACATCGCTGAGCAAAGTCGCAAAATTGATTTCAGCGTCTGATGACAAATTTCCCTCATGAATCATTATCACTCAATTCTGCAAGTGGTTCTAATTTACTATCGCTGTTCTCTAGCTGGTCTAAAACCGATTTTGACCTAAAGGGAAGTTTTTTTGGATGCCGTGGACTTTTCTAAGTTTCCAGGCAGAAAGAACAGTAAAAATGCAGGCAGGGCACAGGACAAAGGAGTAGGGACAAAATGTATGTGAAATGCTTTGATACAGGAATGTTTTGCTATGAAATAATCGTTTTAAAAAAAATTTCATTTTTTTTACATTTTCAGATTTGCCGCCGGTTCCGGCGCCCATACGTCCCAACGTCACACGGAAGCCAGATGCCGGCATCGGCCGGAGAAGATGGCCGGGGACGCTGCAGGGGACGCATCGCGGGAGCGAAGGACAAGGTAAGCGCTGTAGGGAATCCCTGTGCAACGCCGCATGGTAAGCCCGAGTGTAGCTCGGGGTTACCGCTTTTGGTACTGAAACTTTACCCCGAGCTACACTCGGGGAATACCGCCAGGGAGGTTAAGAAGCTTTGACAAAGTGAAGATTGTCCTCTTGTTACTGCATTTTGCAATTGGAGTATCTTACAGTTCCCTACTCCCTATCGAAGTTCAACTTACAACAAAGCATAAAAAAGATACCCATAGACTGTTCATTGAGGCAGAAGAGTGTGTGCCTGGTTGAAGTTGAACTAGCATAGGAAAAGAACCTGGGGCAAATCAGCAAGCCCTTTCGGGGGTGAGCACTACATGCCATAGTCTACAACACCAGCTTCTACTGCAGCTCTAAGGTGTCATGTGACTGATTGCAAGATAATGCTGGAAGTAGGTGTATCATAATCGATCACATCCTTTAGGAACACTTACCTTTCACCATAACTACCAATTACTACAGCACTATGGCACAGTTGGCTTGGTACACTTTCTTTAGCCCACAGAAATCTGTTCCTTTCATGTAAGGCTTACCTATTACGTTCCCTTTGCATCCTTTTATGACAGTGTTTTTTTTCTTAATTTTTTTTATAGCTGAACATTTTGGATTGGCAATTCTCCATTGATCTTATATTTACTGCACCCATTTATATGGATGTCAGTAGGAAACTTTCTGCTTCATTTGCCACAAGGAAGCCAAGATGATGCCGGTGAACTGAAGGGTTACATATTTGTTAAGCTCACATAATGGTTGACTTCACTCTGTATGACAAGTCCACTTTAATGTACCCTCCATATGCCTCTCCTGCACAAACAGGACAGGGTGATCATACATTATTACTGCTTTGTTGAATTATGTAACAGTAAGTGCAGATCACTGATACTCAGCATTCTGATGGGTGGATTCTGTTCCCTGTCTTTGCTTCTTGACTAAGCACTTTCCAAAGGCTTGAGGCAGCCATCCAAATGTTTGTGTCTATATAACAAAGCTCTGCAAGCTTCTAAAGATTCCAGTCTTAAAGGGACACTATTATCGCAAAATAAATACATGTGTAGCACTAACCCCTTAGGATTTACTGAGTTATTTTTGGGCTCCCTGTCATTCTGGACCCCTTTCTGAAAGCTCAGCCCCTGATCACACCACAGGATTCATTTGACCAGAGTAAATTACCACCAGAATGTAGACCCACACACAAATTATAGTACACTGATATGAGCTTTATAGTAAACTTCGATGTGAGCTTGATTAAACAGCACAAAATGATATTGGTATGTGTAGCAGCAATTATTACCCTTAGCAACTCTAAGCAAAGTAACAACATATGCAGCAGAATCTCAATCAGTGCTAGCAGGCCTGCCTGCTTTTCAGAAATTAACCCAGTGCCTCCAACCTGAGGTGTTTTTAGTCCCCTGTGAGCAAGAAAAACTATCAACGGTTGATCTAGTTCACTCTGGTCCCTCAGAAACTGGTGGCAAGGTTTAAATCTGAGATAAGAAAGAACTATTTACCTAGGGCAGTCCGTTTCTCTTTAAGTGCTCGTTGGGGCCCAGTTAGTGCACAAGATGAAGATGACAGTACCTTAAAGGATTAATACAAGGAGAGGAAGAAGAAAGGAGAAGTACTTTCCCATTAAGTGGCACTTAGACTTGGGTGTTGTCCCCTTTAATGCACTGAGCAAGGGGCAGCTTTAGGCAAATAAGGTATCAAAACTGGCAGTAGGGATTGTTGGCAAAGGGCAACTTCACTCTGGGTTGAAATAACCAATGGCAATGGTGGTAGAGGTTCCTTTAAAAGGGTAGGCCAATGGTTAAGTGAGCACTGATGTGATCTGGTCTGCAGAAGGTGTGCACTGTGGTCAGCTCTGATGATTGGACTGTGTTACAAATGTGTTCAATAGTAGCAGCAATGGGAACTAAACTAAATGCAATGTCTACAACTGTGTGCAGGAAAAGTAACAGATATGAGGAGCATGTCAGTGTTCATTTGTTTGGCTGGTGTATGGGACTCTCTCAACCGACTGATGGCCTCCAGCAGGTCCTCTGGTGTCTCTATGTCAGCACCTGTGGTAGTGAGCCCTTGTAGTTAGTCAACTTAGGGTTCCCCAGGGCACGGAGTCTAAGCCCCAGCCTGATTCTTCACCAGAGCCCCTGATGGTGGGGATGGACTTGCAGCAAGCTTGGACCAGGTCGGGGCCCCCGGGTATGCCCAGCTGAGGATGAGGAGACCACTCGCAGGAGCGGAGTACAATGGGAGGAGACAAACAGAAATTAGACTAGCCGAGGTCAGGATTCACGGAAAACAAGCACAGTCAGAAAACAAAGCCAGGGTCGTTACACGAGTAGTCAATGCAGGATACAGGAGATAGCAACACACAGGAACTCAGACAACTAGGAAATTGCTCAGAAAAAGTGGCCTAGACTGAGCATGTCTTATATAGGCAGGCAAACAAGAAGGCAGGCCAGGAAGTGATGGAAGGGAAGGAAATAAAACCCAGAGAACAATAGACAATGCCCATAGTGTGAGCACAGCAAACAAACATGTGAAAGGGATCAGGAACAGCACTGCAGCAAGGAGGTAAGAATACATAAACAAGAAACTGCAGGCTAACTTGTGACACTCTATCTCTATGAATAGGGGCCCCCACAGATACTCCAGCCTCACTCGCAGCATTCCATCCAGTCACCATGCTCCAGGTCACCTGCTGGTAGGCTGCTTCGTTGAACAGGGTGGGAAGGCTAGCGGTCAGTGACTCTCTCTAGTTCTGTGGCCTGGTCGGGTTCTCCGGCAGTCAGCACAACTCTCCCTCCACTCCTGCTCTCCAGCTCTCTCCCCTCAAACTTGCATTTTAGCTGGGTGTTACTCATGAAACACTTTGGGGCTTCTGCATGCACAGATAGCCATGGACAGCCAAAAGTAAGGAGGAAGCCAACTAGATTCCTTCCTGCCCTGGTCTTCGTTCTCATATCTTATATAATTAAAGATGAAAAATAAAAATAAACCTCGCAAATTTTGTAGAAAATATTAAAAAATTATTAATAAAGAAGCAGCAAACACAGAAGAGGATATCCTCTCTTGATACAAATAATAAAATATGTGTCACGCTAAAACCTTATCAGAGGATTGACAAATGTGCATACAACAATATTATTTGTGAACAAATTAATAAATTAATAATAATAAATAGAAATCAGAGTAAAAATATTTACCTAAAAATGCTAAAAACATCACCCAATAAACTCAACTCAAAATTAAATAAATCATTCCCCAAAAATAAGTGGTAAAATATGTAACAAACATCCCAAGTGCAAAGGTGAAAGAAATGTTGTTCCACTAAAAATATATTTATGACGGTCCCTTCAAGGTGCGTGTCAAACTAAGCTTTAAATCTTCAGTGAATATCAGTATCTCCTACACCTCTGTGTGTGCAAAATGGGGGCTTACCAGATACACAGACCCCTATCAGAGAGGTCAGCAAGCACGTTGTATAGTATGCCAAGGTAGATGTATTGTGCATCAGATCAAACTACAGCATCTCAAAGCACTCCTCAGAAGGCCCCAAATATGGACATGCGTATGATCAAAAGAAAATAAAACATATGCCTCTCATAGTGTAGATGCTAAAAATACCATTTATTAAGAAAGAATCACACTTACAGACAATAATAAAGTATCAGAGTTGTAATATATTCACCAAACCACATTGGTGGCTACAGTTCCGGTATAGCAAGACGCAATGATGTCACAAGGGAGACGCCGCCTGACGTGTTTTGTCATAACAGACATCTTCTGAAAGCCATCTGTTATGACTAAATGCATCGGGCAGAACTCTGGAAGCTGTGTCCAAAAAAAAAAGTCAGTCAGAAAACAAAGGACTATCACCTGTAGTCTCTCTGCAAATGATCTTTTCCACATTGCGTACTTACCATGCCTATCTTTGCACTGTGTCACTGTGTGGAGGTGGCCGTCTTGATAGAGAAATGCCTTTTCTTTGTCATTTCAGAGCCTCAAGCATGGAGCACAAAAACAGTGACGTAACCAAATCTCACTCCAAATCTCCTGAGACTAGCGGTTAGAGAAATCAGTGCCTTAGATCTCACAATGCAGATACACAGTATAGCTATGGGACTGTAGGCACAGGAGCACTGCCCGGGGCAGGGACTGACCATTTGGAAACTCGGGCACTGCCTGAGGGCGCAGGGTCAGTAGGGGGACCCCCATGAGATGCCCCTGGTACCTTTTTCATAGGCTTTTTTAAGTTTGGGCAAGGACACAGGGGCCCCATGATCCTCTATTGCCCGGGGGCCCCATGAGTTGTCAGTCCGCCCCTGCACAGGAGTGAATAGGCACCAGGGGCAGACTGACAATTTGGAAACTCGGGCACTGCCCGAGGGCCCGGGGTCAGTAGGGGGCCCCATGAGATGCTGCTGTACCTTTTTTCATAGGCTTTGGATCGCCTATGGATGCGGTTGGGTTGAAAGACTTCACCTACAGGCTGTGCACATTTCCGCTTAGCTGTGTGCAGTAAGCAGAAGGGCATCATCTTGGGAATGAAATTGTGGCCAGGATGGTTTGAAGCCGATTTCATAGGAAGAAGACTTTAAACTGATGATATTGCCAGATGTTGCTTTGGCTGCTGATCATTTGGACTGGAATTTGCCAAGGACACAGGAATGGTGAGCATCTGTTTGTTCATTTCACACTACTGCTACAAGCAGAGGGAAATTAACTTTCAGAAGGAGACTAACTTTTCACGTGCAGAATCCTTAAAAGGACGTTACTTAAATGCACCACCATAATGACTGGGCCCCACCACATAGCCAGAAGAAGGCTGAGAGCAAGGAGTTCATTTACTACTACTTTTGGACATTCACTAATTGCTGCCAGACAGAATAACTGTCTTGTTTTTGTTTATCATCATTCTTGATATTGTTTTATTACTAATCATTTTCTTTGTTTGATGTACTTTTGTAGTATATAACTACCAAGTGGGAGCCACTATAACCTAATAGCTATTAAATCATCAAGAGTGATAACCCTTTCTTTCACTGATTGAGTCATTCTTGCACAATTGCTTACCTTTAACCTGGAACAATATACTCTACTTGCAGTCAACCAGTTTTGGTGTCAATTCCTGGTGCTTTTCCATAGTTGTGTGTGAGAAATTTATCTTTGTGCATAGATGTCTACAGCTGTCTCTTTCCAAAAGCAAGCACTAAGCTGCTCGCACGAGAACAGAGGACCCGATACGTCAAGCAGCTTCTTCGAAGGTAAGTGCTACACTAGGAACATGGCAGGAGGGTGTCCTACATACTTTATACAAGTAGGTGTCCTTTGTTATCTCAGAAAGAAGGTATACCTAGGCTTTTCATTTGGTGACCAACTCTTGAGCAGTATTTCCTCTAAGAAAGGCAAACATTTCAGGCCTTTCTATTACTCTTGTTTTAATGTTTTGTGAATAGGTCAGCTTTAATATCTCTAGCTGTAGGGTGTACTGTACATGCAGGAGTAAAAGGGAAGTGTCATAAAAATGAAAGTGCATAATATTGGCACCTCGGTGTGGTCACAGAGATATAAACAGTTTTATTGCAAGAGCACAGGCTTCCTGAAAACCTTTCTATATTGGCAACCAGTTTACAAGAAGTCATATCAGACTTCCAGTATACATAAACTCTTAATTTTGAAATGACTAACCTTTTTTAAAGCAAGCCTCCAGGCAAAAATGAAATGTGAAAAATTGAATAGCCCATTGAAGTATAAAATAAAAACAGCTGAAATATTCACCTTCAATCCAGAGATGTCCTCCAAAGCAGTTCTTTTTTCACCACAAGATGTCCTTTAGTCCTACTGGCTACATAACAGACAGCATCATTGAAGCCACATATTGTCAGCTCAGGTCATCCTCATAGACCTGCCCTAAGCCTGTGACTGTGAAGGAGTAGCAGCATCGTGATGAGCTCATCTGTTTGTCACTTTGTTCTCTACATCAGGGGCGGACTGACCATTTGGAAACTCGGGCACTGTCCGAGGGCCCGGGGTCAGTAGGGGGCCCCATAAGATGCCCCTGGTACTTTTTTCATAGGCTTTTTTGAGTTTGGGCAAGGACACAGGGGCCCCATGATCCCCTATTGCCCGGGGGACCCCATGAGTTGTCAGTCCGCCCCTGTTCAGGGGTAACACTACACTCACCATTATAAATGCCTTGTTGTTTGGAACTGAATAAGCGAAAGAATTCTGTGTTGCTGTAACTTTAGATGACTCTCTTATGGTGATGGGCTGGATGTTCGAGTCAAGCGTAATTTTGACTTGACCATCAGTCGTTCCTGTGTCTGGCAAACACATAAACAGTAAGGGTGTTCAGTGGGCTGTTTGCTCGTCACGCCCCACAATGCACTGCGCTCTAACCGTGCATTATGATTGGTCAAAGCAATGCACCTGACCTCAGGTCGGATGCAATGCTTTGGCCAATCACAGCACAATTGGGCGGAGCAAGCCTCCACACTCACTATTCAATTGACAGCGGCTCTTTCAGGGGCAAGGGCGGACTGACCATTTGGAAACCTGAGGGCCCGGGGGTCAGTAGGGAGCCCCATGAGATGCCCCTGGTACTTTTTTCATAGGCTTTTTTGAGCTTGGGCAAGGACACAGGGGCCCCATGATCCCCTATTGCCTGGGGGCCCCATGAGTTGTCAGTCTGCCTCTGCTCTACACCTATCAGCATGCTCCTTGTCAGCACCGATTAGCTCCTTGTGATGTATCCTGCTTTTTGCACACTAGACATGCAGAAGATCATACCAAGTTGAATTTGAGTTCTTATACTGCTTTTATTAAAAATACATTTAATAATTTGTTTCATTAATTTGTGTGTTTTATGTCTGTATGGAGCACATTTGTGCTTTACCCTACGTGGAATAAAATAGCTGGCTCCCTTAACTGCCACCCATCAAGGCTGAAACTTAGCTTGCTGCTGATTCATTTTTTACAAGGATAGAGTATAATAAACAAATGCAAAATGTAAGATACAGTATATCACATTAAATGGAGTTATCCGCTTACTTGATTGTATTGCAAATAAATGATAATGTTGGGTGTAATTATTCTCATGATAAGCTCGGATAATTGTGTGTGCATTCCCTCAGTGTGCAGGTGTAAGAATTCCCACCACTTTGTTTGTGAAATAAATTGTTCACCATCTCGATTATAATAATATGGTGTGCAGTCAATTAATTAGAAATAAATAAGATATGACATTAAATACTGTGCTGAGTGTTAAATTGCTTACTAATTCAAGGATGATGGTTCTATTAATTGCAAATATTTATTTGAGAGAATCTTCCATGCTAAATGTTAAAACTGAGATATTTTAAAGAATATTTAAAGCAGTAATGTATTAATTTTCAAATCATTAAAAGTGTTATTAAACCCACAACAGTAAAATCAGTCTGTATATGCAGTAAAGCATGCTTGTTATACTCACTGCGGAACCTAAGGGGTTAATTGTCTGCATGGTGTAAAAAGGCTGTTTGATCCTGTCTTCTCTGACCCTCCCTTCTGACCTTCTCCCACAGCCCCCAATCCATCTTCTGATAGAACAGAGCCTTGGGGGATAGCTGCATATGCTCAGTTTGGTGTGTATTGCTAGAGAATTTTTTTTTTCTTGGGAGGGTGCATGTGATCAGCACAGGGCCAATCAGCACTGTTCAGAGGGTCAGGGGTCATGTAGCCTCATAGGACAAATAGGGAAGAATGAAAACTCCTCCTACAAGCTATAGCCAGCTGGACACTGATAGAAGTCACATGACTGCTCTAATTGCTGATGAGAAAAGGTATTTAGCAGTTTATATTTACTGAAATCATTGCATTTCCATGTTCTGTGCACTGTGGGAGACCAGATATAGTGAATGCCTCCTAGATTGTAAGCTCCAAGGAGCAGGGCCCTCTAATCCCTCTTGTATTGAACTGTATTGTTACTGTACTGTCTCCCTCCATAATGTAAAGCGCTGAGCAAACTGTCGGCACTATATAAGTCCTGTATTATAATAATAATAAAATAATGCATGGTCCTGGGTTTAGTAACACTTTAAATATTTTTTAATGGTACATTGGTAAATGTACCAGTATCTCTCCTGGAATCAACATTTTATAATCTCCTGTACAATATCATTCAGAATGGGAAAAGGAGGAGCTGTACTTTGAGTCAAACAGGAACAGTGGGGCAAAAAAGTATTTAGTCAGCCACCAATTGTGCAAGTTCTCCCACTTAAAAAGATGAGAGAGGCCTGTAATTGGCATCATAGGTAGACCTCAACTATGAGAGAAAAAATTAGAAAAAAAATCCAGACAATCACATTGGCTGATTTGGAAAGAATTTATTTGCAAATTATGGTGGAAAATAAGTATTTGGTCACCTACAAACAAGCAAGATTTCTGGCTCTCACAGACCTGTACCTTCTTCTTTAAGGGGCTCCTCTGTCCTGCACTCATTACCTGTATCAATGGCACCTGTTTGAACTTGTTATCAGTATAAAAGACACCTGTCCACAACCTCAAACAGTCACACTCCAAACTCCACTATGGTGAAGACCAAAGATCTGTCGAAGGACACCAGAAACAAAATTGTAGACCTGCACCAGGCTGGGAAGACTGAATCTGCAATAGGCAAGCAGCTTGGTGTGAACAAATCAACTGTGGGAGCAATAATTAGAAAATGGAAGACATACAAGACCACTGATAATCTCCCTCGATCTGGGGCTCCACGCAAGATCTCACCCCGTGGGGTCAAAATGATCACAAGAACGGTGAGCAAAAATCCCAGGACCATACGGGGGGACCTAGTGAATGACCTGCAGAGAGGTGGGACCAACGCAACAAAGGCTACCATCAGTAAACACACTACGCCGCCAGGGACTCAGATCCTGCAGTGCCAGACGTGTCCCCCTGCTTAAGCCAGTACATGTCCGGGCCCGTCTGAAGTTTGCTAGAGAGCATTTGGATGATCCAAAAGAGGATTGGGAGAATGTAATATGGTCAGATGAAACCAAAATAGAACTGTTTGGTAGAAACACAATTCGTGTTTGGAGGAGAGAGAATGCTGAGTTGCATCCAAAGAACACCATACCTACTGTGATGCATGGGGGTGGCAACATCATGCTTTGGGGCTGTTTCTCCGCAAAGGGACCAGGACGACTGATCCATGTACAGGACAGAATGAATGGGGCCATGTATCGTGAGATTTTGAGTGCAAACCTCCTTCCATCAGCAAGGGCATTGAAGATGAAACGTGGCTGGGTCTTCCAACATGACAATGATCCCAAACATACCGCCCGGGCAACGAAGGAGTGGCTTCGTAAGAAGCATTTCAAGGTCCTGGAGTGGCCTAGCCAGTCTCCAGATCTCAACCCCATAGAAAACCTTTGGAGGGAGTTGAAAGTCCGTGTTGCCCAGCAACAGCCCCAAAACATCACTGCTCTAGAGGAGATCTGCATGGAGGAATGGGCCAACATACCAGCAACAGTGTGTGCCAACCTTGTCAAGACTTACAGGAAACGTTTGACCTCTGTCATTGCCAACAAAGGATATATAACAAAGTATTGAGAGGAACTTTTCATATTGACCAATACTTATTTTCCACCATAATTTGCAAATAAATTCTTTCCAAATCAGCCAATGTGATTGTCTGGATTTTTTTTCTCATTTTTGTCTCTCACAGTTGAGGTCTACCTATGATGCCAATTACAGGCCTCTCTCATCTTTTTAAGTGGGAGAACTTGCACAATTGGTGGCTGACTAAATACTTTTTTGCCCCACTGTATGCAGCAATCACATGTTCTAACAAGGAACTGTAGTAGGAATATGGGCAGAAGCAGTTTAAGTACTCTTTCACACTGGCATCTAGAAAGCGGTATAAACAGGAAGTTGAGTCTCTCAGTTTTACCACCCTGGGCCTCCCACCTGAATTTTAACATTACAGTCTGACAGGGTTGTACCAGGGGCGGACTGACCATTTGGGAACTTGGGCATCTAGGGTGTGAATTAACATTTGTGTATACACTATTAGGGGACTCCGGTTTTAGTTATTCATCGACCACTCATGCCTGACATGGCCAGAAGCCAGATCATCATCCTGGATTGTACACAATGCCATTCACCATGGCTAAAACCTCCATTGATGGATATTGAAGTGTCTTTTTTTATCTACCCTCCTCTAAGTTGCTGTCTTTCATGTGCAATAAATCAGATTTTTACAGTTTATGCTTAGAGGTGCCTTTCTCCTCTTTTTTCTTACATGTATCCTTCTGGACCCAAGCTTCAATCCAGTGAAAGGCTGCCATAAGTGTCTTTAACGCGCAAATAGAACCTTACTTGAAACAATGGGCAGCATTCATAACAGATACAGATTCCAAGATGGCGGACAACACAATGACGTCAGAAGGGAGGCTCCGCCTGATGCGTTTCTTCATCAAAAGACGTCTTCCAGGGCTGGAAGATGCTTCAGTGTTTGTAAGTAAGGTTTTATTTGTGTACTAAAAAACACTTTGATTTTACTGCACTATGAGAGGCACTTTTTATTTTGACATGGGCTAATCTTGATATCAATATCGGAATGGCTTACTGACATCTATATGGAATCTGGGTCCCAGTCAAAGTGTAGGAGTCGGGACAGAGCTGTGTTTATACAGAGCCTACTATGACCCCCTAAAATTAAGGTGTCTGCTTACCGATAAGCATCCATTTTGCCTATATGGTGGTGGTCCATTCACTTTGGTGGTTTTGTAGATGGAATGAAGATTATCACTACTGATTATTACACCCAGGAAACTGATGTTTTTTCATGAACTGTCTGCTAAGGCTGCTATTCACATGGACTCTGCACACTTATTATCCTCCGCATGGAGTGTTTGTGATTATATTCAAATGATTCATTCTGAGCACTTTACTGTATATTTATCAGCTGATTTTTATATGTTTTCATGGATCTGTCACTTTACGCAGACATAGTGCAACATTTATTTCAGGTACTTATATAGCACCGTCAATTTACACAGCACTTATATATATATTGTACATTCACATCAGTCCCTAACCCTCAAGGGGTATACAATCTAAAGTCCCTAACTCACATCCATACATACACATACTAGAGACAATTTTTTAGACAGGAACCAATTAATCTACCAGCATGTCTTTGGAGTGTGGGAGGAAACCAGAGTACCCAGAGGAAACACATGCAGTCACAGGGAGAACATGCAAACTCCAGGCAGGTGGTGCCGTGGCTGGGATTCAAACCAACGACCCTAGTACTGCCAGGCGGAAGCGCTAACCATTTAGCCACTGCGCTGCCCAACATTAATTGTTTACATATTTATATACGAGTGTTTTCTTCATATTGATGTTTTTTGGTACTCCCATTTGTGCTTATTCCACTTTATTTTTTATTATTATTATTATATTATATTATTATTATTATTATAATACAGGATTTTATATTATTATTATAATACAGGATTTTTATATTATTATTATTATTATAATACAGGATTTATTATTTTATTATTATTATTATATATACAGTACAGGATTTATATTTTATTATTAATATTATAATACAGGATTTATAATATTTATTATTATAATACAGGATTATTATTATTATTATTATTATTATTATTATAATACAGGATTTATATTATTATTATTATACAGGATTTATATAGCGCCAACAGTTTGCTCAGCACTTTACAATATAATGGGAGACAATACAGCAACAATACAGTTCAATACAAGAGGGATAGGAGGGCCCTGATCCTTGGAGCTTACAATCACCTTCAGATTATACATAGGTTGCGCCTTTTTTCTTTTGTTTTTTTTCTGTGGCATTGTGAGCCTTTTTCTACCTCAAGACAGTACCAGGTGGATATCAGGAGGAAACCGGTGATCCTGTGACGATGTGAGTACTGACCTAGCTCAGGGGGCCCTAGTGACCTTGCGTAGTTCTCTCCCTTTTTGAAGGCTCTTGTAATTGCTCATTTTGTGGAGGCCGTTACAGGAACCTGGTTCCAGCTACATCTCCTGCCCTTGTGTACAGAGAATGTTTAGGAGAGGGAGAAGTTACATAGTTACATAGTTAGTCTGGCTGAAAAAAGACAAAAGTCCATCCAGTTCAACCATAAAGTGTCCTCTTGTTCTTCAGTGCTGCTGGAGTATCCCGTGCTTCCCCTATCTCATGCAGATTTCTACATCCCCTAGCCTGTTTATTGTGAGAGAAAATACTGAGTGCCTGGCTGCCTCCACACTCACTGTTCAATTGGCAGCGGCTCTTTCAGGGGCAGGGGCGGACTGACCATTTGGAAACTCGGGCACTACCTGAGGGCCCGGGGTCAGTAGGGGGCCCCATGAGATGCTCCTGGTACCTTTTTCATAGGCTTTTTTGAGTTTGGGCAAGGACACATGGGCCCCATGATCCCCTATTGCCTGGGGGCCCCATGAGTTGTCAGTCCGCTCCTGTTCAGGGGTAACACTACACTCACCATTATAAATGCCTTGTTGTTTGGAACTGAATAAGGAGAAGAATTCTGTGTTGTTGTAACTTTAGATGACTCTCTTATGGTGATGGGCTGGATGTTCGAGTCAAGCATAAGTTGGACTTGACCATCAGTCGTTCCTGTGTCTGGCAAACACATAAACAGTAAGGGTGTTCAGTGGGCTGTTTGCTCGTCACGCCCCACAATACACTGCACTCTAACCGTGCATTATGATTGGTCAAAGCAATGCACCTGACCTCAGGTCGGATGCAATGCTTTGGCCAATCACAGCAAAATTGGGCAGAGCAAGCAATGACATCATCGTTAGCTCCGCCCAATTGCTCACATCTGCCCAGCAAATGTCAGATTACGGCGAGTGCTTGGCAGGTGCAGGCATTTTTTTTTTATTTCAGCGAGTCGGCATCGTCGTGACTAGGGGTGGACTATCAACTCATGGTGCCCCCGGGCAATAGGGGATCATGGGGCCCCTGTGTCCTTGCCCAAACTCAAAAAAGCCTATGAAAAAGGTACCGGGGCATCTCATGGGGCCCCCTACTGACCCCGGGCCCTCGGGCAGTGCCAGAGTTTCCAAATGGTCAGTCCGCCCCTGGTCGTGACAATGCTGGACACCGTGACTGATGATGGATTACAATGATGGAATCATTTTTTTTTTTGTTTTTTGTTCAGTAAAGCAATTTTTCAAAAGACTTGTCTCTTTATTTGTTTTTTTACTAAATATAACCTTATAGTGAATGGAAAGGGGTACAAGTACCCCTTACTCATTCACAAGGGAGGGGCAGAAACAGGGTGCCCCCTTATTTAAAGTGGTACCCTGATGCTAATGAGCTCCCCTGCTCCCAGATCCCCACAACTACTGGGCCAGGATTGTGGGGAAGAGGCCCTTATCCCCATTGGCATGCACCCACCATCTTCCGGTGTCCCAATGCCAAGGGCACATGGCCTGGTAGGCCGCAGGGTGTGGGGGGGCGCTCAATTGTCCCCCCCATTTCCTGGCCTGCTAGGCCTGTGCTAGGATCAAGGGTCTGGTAGGAATTTAGGGGGGACCCCGCTTTTTCCCCCCCTTTTTTTGGTGGTGGGGTTCCCTTAAAAGTCCTACAAGGCCTAATGGGCCTTGTATGGCCTTTAGGGGGAACTCCACACACTTTTTTAAAAAAAAAAACTTTTTACTGTGGGGTCCTTTCTAACTTTCCTGCCAGACTTATAGGGTCAGGTATGGATTGGGGGGACCTCACACTGTTTTATTTATTTATTTCAGGTACTTATATAGTGCTGTCAATTTACGCAGTGCTTTACATATATAGTGTACATTCACATCAGTCCCTAACCCTCAAGGGGTGTACAATCTAAGGTCCCTAACTCCCATTCATACATATACGTACTAGGGACAATTTAGACAGGAGCCAATTCACCTACCAGCATGTCTTTGGAGTGTGGGAGGAAACTGGAGTACCCGGAGGAAACCCACAAAGACACAGGGAGAACATGCAAACTCTAGGCAGGTGGTCCTGTGGTTGGGATTTGAACCACTGACTCTAGTGCTGCCAGGTGGAAGGGCTAACCCTTTAGCCACCATGCTGCCAATAGTTTTTTTTTTTTTTTTTTTTTTTTTAAAAAGTAATTTAAAAAAAAAAAATGTCAGCTGATAGCCCCTGCATGGGCATACCTTTTGCTCTGTTGGTGTTAGAGCACTGGTTTTTCTAATTTTCTAATATTTATGTGCAATTGATAGCCCCTGCATGGGCGTGATTTGTTGCTCCTGTGTTAAACTGTTACAAATTAATAAAAACCATTGAAATACAAAAAAAAAACCAGTCAGTCCTGCTGCAGCAGGTTCTCTACATTGTATAGATGTGCAACTTTGCACATAGTTTAAGGGACCCCCTCCAGGCATGATATTTAAAGGAATTTTTCTTTTTCTTTTTTTTGTTTACTTTAAGCAATAAAAAAAATGACTGCCCCTTTAAAAATGCTACTTTTTGATTTTTTTTTTTTTTTTACTGATTCATGTCCCTCAGAGCAGTACTCCAGTCCCCATACCCCTTTTATGGCCAATAACTTGCATATAAAATGGGCATTTTGCATTTACAAGTTTGAGTCCCATAGACTTGCATTAAGTTTGAAGTTCGCGGTTGAATATTCATTAGGTTCGAACAGCAATGGGCAAACTACGGCCCGCGGGCCGTATACAGCCCGGCGGACCTTTTAATCCGGCCCGCGGAGCGTGGCAAACATCGGCTGTCAGAATGTGTGTAGGCGGGGCAGCGTGAGGAACGTGAGGGGAGCTACGCTCCTCTCACAGTCCGCCCTGAAGACCGGAACGGCGCGGGAACATGGCGAGAGGAACGCGCGGAGCAAAGGTAAGTGAATTGACACAGGGGGGGGGACTTTGGGGACTTAATATGGGGTGAATGAATTATATGGGGAATGAATTACTATAGGGGGGATGAATTACTATAGGGGGGATGAATTACTATATGGGGGATGAATTACTATGGGGGATGAATTACTATATGGGGGATGAATTACTATGGGAGATGAATTACTATATGGGGGATGAATTACTATGGGGGATGAATTACTATATGGGGGATGAATTACTATGGGGGATGAATTACTATATGGGGGATGAATTACTATATGGGGGATGAATTACTATATGGGGGATGAATTACTATGGGGGATGAATTACTATAGGGGGGATGAATTACTATAGGGGGGATGAATTACTATAGGGGGGATGAATTACTATATGGGGGATGAATTACTATGGGGGATGAATTACTATAGGGGGGATGAATTACTATATGGGGGATGAATTACTATGGGGGATGAATTACTATATGGGGGATGAATTACTATGGGGACTGAATTACTATATGGGGGGGGGATGAATTACTATGGGGGATGAATTACTACTATATGGGGGATTAATTACTATGCTTACTATGGGGGGGAATATTACTATACTTACTATGGATGACACATACACATCATTCATCTACTCTAAAATGTAGAAGCTATATGACCTGTTCTCGTCTAACCTCTACCATTAGTAATCACCTACTACACACAGTCTAGGTTCTCTTCTACATATTTTAAATTTCTAAGCCGGAATTTAGGTTGTAAGTTATTCTCCCTGGTAGTTATTGTGTGATCTTAGCATTTCCTCCCCATTGTAACCACACATAGTATATCTTTAATGAGTCGCCTCTGGTGTGGGATTACAGTTTTACTATCACTACAGATGCAATACCACAATTAGCTCATTTTTTTCTAAGAATTCTGTCTTTTTCTTTAGAAAGAACTCTAATAATGAGAGACACTTAAAAAAAAAAAAAAAGTGTCACAACCACAAAAAATAACCAATTCCATTAGAGTGAAATGTACAGTACATACTTTTATTGAAATTGACCTAAGGGACATTGTTTGCCTTCTATGGGGTTATAGCTTTCACTGTGAGATACTTGTTCATGTGGTTTCTCCACTGATTAATTATTAATTCTAGCTTACAAATGCATATCTGAAAAGTATCAGGGAACAGTAAGGATTTAGAGCAACAGCTTCCTCTCTATGACACAATCATTAAGAATGTTCATATTTTGTGAACTGTAAATGGTTTATTTTAGTTTCTCTGCCGTCCCATGTCCTCATTCCTCTCGGTGACATACTGAACCTTCAGCCTCCTGGGATATTGATGTCATCAGTCCTTGGATGCCACAGGTCAGCAGGACATCTATGCAGGCACAAGATCTTCCAATACTTTGGAATGCACCAACCTGCAGCCTCCTGGGATATTGGGGTCACCCATCCTTGGATGCCACAGGTCAGCAGGACATCTATGCAGGCACAAGATCTTCCAATACTTTGGAATGCACCAACCTGCAGCCACCTGGGATATTGATGTCACCCGTCCTTGGATGCCACAGGTCAGCAGGACATCTATGCAGGCATAAGATCTTCCAATACTTTGGAACGTACCAACCTGCAGCCTCCTGGGATATTGATGTCACCCGTCCTTGGATGCCACAGGTCAGCAGGACATCTATGCAGGCACAAGATCTTCCAATACTTTGGAACGTACCAACCTGCAGCCTCCTGGGATATTGATGTCACCCGTCCTTGGATGCCACAGGTCAGCAGGACATCTATGCAGGCATAAGATCTTCCAATACTTTGGAACGTACCAACCCGCAGCCTCCTGGGATATTGATGTCACCCGTCCTTGGATGCCACAGGTCAGCAGGACATCCATGCAGGCACAAGATCTTCCAATACTTTGGAACGTACCAGCCTCCTGGCATAAGTGTAAGCTTAAGGTCACTTAGTATAAACTTCCATCTCACTTTTTCAAATTGAGTAACATTTTGTAAAAATTAGAAACCAAAAGTACAGTCAATGTGTTTTCGGAAAAGGACTCCTCCTTGTTCAGTTGGGATAAGCTGATGGTTTAGTCCAACCCTAGGCTTCAATCAAACTTTGACTGTTCAGGTGTTTGGACAAACACCTGCAAGGAGCCAAGCATCATATCCATTCTTGTACTTTATATGACAGTTTCCCATTGTCAATGGTTCCTAAGGCAGCAGTGGGGGCTGCACATGCTGCGTTCCTAGAAACCACCTCTTTTACTAGCCGTATAAGCAAAGTGACAACGATAACAATGACATCCCTGCCCAAAGATGGTCACTGGCCATATTTGGTCAGAGATGTCACTGATATCTCAGCCTATTCCCTTATATACTGGATGTTACTGAACTGTCATTCGGCGAGCAGTACTGTCCGGATTGGTTATGTGCGCTGGGTCCATTGGGTGTTTCATTTCGGCAATTCAGCAGGCAGCAGGCATTGTGATTGACAGTGTAATTACAACAAGGGACTTTTTAGGGGATTTACATTTTTTTAATCTTTGGGTGTCTTTATTTCTAGATTACATTTTTTGGTGAAT